GGTGGCGACGGGCGAGCGATGCGGAGCAACCGCGGGCCGGCAGGCGCGGCGCGGCCGCCGCGAAGCCAGCACCGGAGGAGCGGGTGCTTCCCGGGGGCGGGAGGGCGAGCGGCTTCCGGAACGGTGCGGGCAACGAGAGCCCGGCTGGGTGTGCTGCGCTTTGCTGAGCTGCGCTGTGCTACGCTGCGCTCGCCTCGCCCCGCACTACGGAGTCCTAAACGCCAGCCCCGCGCCGCCGCGTGACATAGCGCGGAGTGGGGAGGAGCCGCCCGGCGCGGCCCGACCCGGCCCGGCAGGCGGCGCCATAGCACCCGCTCCGCCCGCCCGACGGCTGCGGCCGCTGGGCAGGGGCGTGGCGCAGCCCGGCGACCGTGCTCCCGATTGGGCCGCCCTCCCCGTCGGGCGCCGCCATTGGCTGGAGCGGATGGGGCGCGCCGCCTGCACCGTCGGGGCCGCCCGCGCTCCGCTGGTGGCGCCGCCGTCAGGGCGCAGCCGGAGCCCGTGTGCTGCAATAGCAGGCATGGCTCAGTGCATAGCTTGCGTTATACTGCTGCTGCTAGTCCTCATGGGGGTGCCCGGGTTAGATCAAAAGCGTTCTGTTTTAATTTAGTTTAATTATAGCATGAGTACCTCCCAGGGCTGTACTGCTTTAGCAGTATCTTCGCGGCACGGAGGCAGTCGTGTCGGATAGAGCCAGTGCGGCTCAGCCTTGCTGGAAAGGAAAGCACCCTGTATGCATGGTAAGGGATGGTATCTGCTGTTACTTCTCCCTCCATAGCTGTATGCAGCAGAGGGCGGCTGTCGTGTGCCTGGTGCACCTGCTGTGTGCTGCACTGTGCAGGGCAGAGCCACGACTGCAGCCTGGGCTCCCAGCTCACTCACTTCAATTCAAAACAGTTTTGAGAAAAGGAGAACTCTAATTACGTCCTAGCTGTATTTTGTCTCAGCATCCCACAAACGATGCACGTTGTTGGTGCTGTGAAGTGGTACGTGATGCTGGAAGGCATGGTAAGCTCCGCAGCTTGGGTCACTTCAGGTAGTGTGTCATCAAATGAATTGTAGCAGAATCTGGAAAAATCACTAAGACCACCTGGTCCAACTGCCCATCCCCACCACGGCCACTGACCATGTCGCTCAGTGCCCACATGTTTCTGTAACGCCTCCAGGGATGGTAACTCCAGAACTTCCCTGGGCAGCCTGTGCCCATGTGTCAAGGCCATGCAGTGTCTGTGCCCATGTTGGATGATGCACAACCTGAGGGTGAGCAGCAAGCCACAACCGCTGGCACAAGGATGCAATCTGACCTGGCTGTGGGCACGAGGATGTCTGAGCGATGCTATATCCTATCTGTGACGACAAATAGTAAATCCATGTCCTATATCAGTGCAGTGATGAGAACTCATTAAGAGCACAGTTGCACAAGCTCCTGTAGGTGGGAGGTGAGGGGTGAATGCTCCGTACCAGCTAAACATCAGTTTGAACGGCGTTGAAAGATGATGCTGGAAAGCTCTTCATTGCAAACACTGCAAGTAAAAAATGCCATGTGTGCATTTTTGAACACCTTCGGTGGCCAAATGCATTGAGCCGAGTGGGGTCTGGTGAGATAACTACAACTGCCCACATTGTTCTTGTACTGGGAGGGCAGGAGCAGCCTGGGAGCTGCATGGCTGTGCTGTACTGTAATGTGCCCTGCCAGATACAGTAGTCCTTTGTATGAGAGGATGATCTAAGCCATTGTTGTGCCCACCCGCACCATAGCAGCAAGCCGGGGCAGCACCAACAGCGGTGCCACCCTGCGTGAAAGATGCTCTAAGCAACATCTGCTGTCCCCAAGCTGTCAGCCCAGCCCTACTGCACGCACCCATCTTGCAGGTTGGAATACAGCTGTTTTCAGAGCTGAGCTGTGGGATAACAAATCTTAGTTCCATGCAGGTCACTAGGGTGCTGCTGTTTGTCCATTATCAGCTCTCTCTCTATCTTACGTGCTTGTGTTAGTCAAATATCATTCTTTGAGGAAAATGACAGAATGAGGAAATTATTTTATCAAAATGTGAAGTAGGTCATTGTTATATCCTGGCTTATCATTTTCCCTGTGATACAAAGAATCTGAACAGGGTGCTGGCCTTGTAGAATGAAAGCTTTCCCTTTTTTTTTCCTGCAGAAACTTGACAAGCCTGACACGGAGCAAGGCACTGGGCATGACGTGACGCAGTGCTGCTGGTGCAGGGCAAGGTACAGACTGCCCCAGGGGGCTGTCACCGGGGTCCCACTTGTGAAAGCAGCAAACCCACAGCTGGAAAGTGGCCATCTCTGATGCTCCCCATTTTCTTCCAAAACAGCGAGATCATGGCAATGCTGCTGAGCTGGTCACTGGCTGGAGAGGTGAAAAGGAGGGAAAGGGGAAGTGTGAGGGAGCAAAAGAGGGCAATAAGCCAGGGAAGCAAAGGGAGATTGTGTGAAGGACAGCTCTGACCTACCCTGACTTCAGAAGAGTGCTTTTGAGGCTGCTTCTTGACTGCCAGGAGAGAAAAGGGCTGGGGAAGCACAAGATTCTGTTCTTTTTATTATAAACTTCATTCGATGTGTATATATATATATATATATACATATATATATATATGTGCCAGGGCTTTTTTAGAGAACATGTTTGTCACTCAAAATATCAACCTCAGGCAAGTTTTCACTACATGGGGAAAAGGTTCAGGAACCGGCACACATTATTAACACAGTAATATCCCCCCACCCCTCCAGCTAAGTTCTGATTGAGAAGGCACTAACATGAGCTCAAAATCAAAATGGACTGCTGAAATCAACCTGAAAGCAAAATAAAACAAAACTAAACAAAGCAGAATTGCTTCAAGCCACTCAAATTCCTAATTAATTCAGAAAACAAATTAACCCTAGCCTCCTATCTGCAGTGCCTCTGCAGGGGAGTCGCTGTGGGAGGTGATCCCTTTATCTCACTTTTAACATCCTTTTCACCCCACCTCAGACCACAGCCACTGGCAGACACTGAGTGTCCTGAGTGCTGTGTGGCAGTCACCAATTTGCCCATCCTAGAGCTTCTCATGGCCCAGGGCTGTCCCACAGCCTGGGGCACAGGGATGGAGCTGTGCTGCAAGGATGGAGCAGTGTCACTGTGCTTCTACTTACACGGGCTTTTAACATGCTATTTCAGCCTCGGAGTTGCAGAGGCAATCTTGAATGAGGCAGTTAACTCCAAGCCCTAGACTGAACATCTGAGGGGAGAGAAAAGTATAAGAGAGGAAGCTTTGGCAGCGTGCTGTACGTTCGGGCATCCCAAGATGGGCCATGCATATCCTGTGTGGACCAACATCTCGGAAGAGGGACAGCACCTTCCTCCTGGGAGGCCTCTGCCAGCAGGGCTGGGAGGTAAGGGGCATAGAGACCCTCCTGCCCTAACTGGTTCCTTCTGCACTCACAAGCTGGTTGCTTGCAAAGTCTAAGAAGTGATGGTTGCTCCATGTGTTATCTCTTCTGGAGCCAGCCACTTTCTCTTGGTGTCAAACTTGGACAATTCCCATGGGCAGTGCTGAAAAGACTTTTTCCAGTTTTAAAGATCTTCTCTGAAAGCAGTTGCTAGGATCTTGTTAGTGAGGATTAAATACTTGGAACAATCCAGCACAAGCGTCAGTTCTACTGGAAGTGAATAGGGCAAACTTTCCTATGAGCTGCCCTACTTACAACCCAGAGGTGCACCACGGGATGGCTTCCACAGCCTCACAATGGAAAGAGCCACAGTTCTCCATGCTGCATGGCAAAGCAAAGGCAGGAAAGTAAACACCAGGATTCACCAGGTGCAAAGCAAACAGCTCAATAACCACCACAGTCACAGCCTGCCCTGCTCCAGTGCTCATAGGTGGAGCTTATAGGTGGAGTTCCCAGGTGCCTCCCAGTGCCCAGCCCAAATCCAGCTGCCTTCAGCCTCTCAGCTGCCACAGGTATGTGCAATCAGATATGGAAGCCAGCTGCAACGTGAGCTATGTTTTCCTTTCAAGCTTCCTCTCTTTACCTGAAATGCTACATCTTCCACAGCTTTAAGGTTCTCTATGCCTTTGAAAAAGAATGCCAGAGCAAGAAGAACAAACAAAAGGCTGCAGCTCCCCAGCTCCAAGAGCAGAGGAGTCGTCACCCAGAGGTGACCTAGGGGCTTTGAACACCAGGCACTGTTAGCTGTAAATGCAGACCACTACAACGTTCTCAAGATTTCCAATTGCAGTAAAGGCACTGGGAGCAAGAGATGGATAGGTTGCCAGCTGTGTCAGTATGATAAGACAAGCAAGGACACCAAAGCTTTCATTTGAAAGCAACTTGAAACCTCAGCAGTGACACAGGGCAAATCAGCACATAAGCTGCACATGGAACTCTGAGCAAGGCACTGTGGGCAAACGTTTCTTATCTTCAGCTGACGTCAATAGGAATAGCAGCAAAGTGTTTCCTAGAGAGGAGGAGGAGAAAGTCCAAAAGATTTTTCAGCAGTAAAAAAGTGCTTTTTATAAAGCAGTGCTTTATAAAATGTTACTGCTTTTCATTGACAATGAGCAGACAGAATCACCCACAAGTTCTCCCAGAAGTCTGCTTGCTTGTATGGATTTAACAGTGCCATTCCTGCAGGAATGCTGCCTGCTATCTCCGCTGCATCCCAAAGACAACCTGGGAAGCAAAGTCTCTCAAGCAGCACAAGGTACAGCTGTGATAATTACCCACTTGCTCTGATGGTGTGTGAAACAGGACTCTGAGAGAGGCAGGATGTGGTGATTGAGGCTTTCTGCAAGATGATGCTCCCCACAGCCACCTCCCCATTTCTCAGAGTTCCTGCTCCTCCAGCAGCCCATCTTACTGACTTTTGCTTTGCTTTCTAGTTTTACTATTTTCATTAAATCTAATTATCAGAAGAGTGGATGAGGCCCATCTTGGATGGATTTTTTCTTTGTCAGTAGTTTTCATTTTGCCAAGTTTGTTTTGTTTTGTTTTTTGCTTTTAAACTCTTTTGATAATAAGAGGCAGGTGACCCAGCAGCAAAAACACTGCTCATCAGCCTGGACAGCTCAGGGGAGGCTTTCTCCCGCCCTGAAAACCCAGAGGAATGAGCCTATGCTGCTGCAGAGCTGGAATTGCACCCAAACCACAGGGAGCTGTCCTGAGCGTCCCAAAATATTGCCCAGCCTACCCTTAGTATCTGCCTGCTGTTTTTGGGTTGCATTTGCAGAGCGGGGCTTGGGCTGCATGCAGACCCAATGGGTCTTGCTGTTGTGAGCAATGGTGTAAGAGCAGCAGATCCCAGAGCCTAGTCTGCCAGGGGGAACAAAGAGATGGTTATAGGTTTGGGGAGAAAAAATAAGGAAACGAAAAAGAAAAGAGAACAAAGAGCCATTGACAAGAGGCACAAATAAGCTAGGTCTTAAGTGTCATTCCCCATCTGATAAAACAAAAATGTCCAGAGCAACCATTAAGAAAAAAAAAATACCATGCAGGATTAAATATCTGTTTGGCTCTATGCACTGACTGTACACAGAGCTCTTTTTCCTTTTGTGCTCTCAGTTATCTTTCTTCTCGATTAATGTGGAGCTGGCCACATACTCATATGTGGATGATGCAGACCCATATTTTGGGAGCTGCCTTTGTGTAGTCTGTACTTTCAGGAGCCTGGAGCAAAGCAAAACAGCAACATGTGTGTGAAGGAAAGGGGAAGGTGCTTGGGCTGATCCTATGAGATGCATCAAAGGGGTAAGGATGAGAGTTTGAGAAGGATTCAAAGCCAGAGACAACTCCAGCAAGGGGTTAAAGATGGCAAGACAGTACTGAATAAAAAATACACAGCAGAAAAGGACAAGTGTGGGGAGTGCCGCTGTGGGCTGCTTGGGGCAAACAGGACATTGGTGACCATCAGGCAGCAAGGAGATGGACGGGTGGCTGCCCCTCACTGGGCTGTGAGCAGTGAGGGGGCTGCATGCAATTTGGCTTTGCCATGCCAAAGAGAAGGGGGATAATCCATTCTCCACAGCACGTGGAGGTAAATAAGGCAAGAAATAATGAGATTAAAGTGCAGCAAGGGAAGCTCAATACAGCTGTCAGAAAAAACTTCCTAATGGTAAGGACAGCTGCGTATTGCAATTGCCTCTTGGAGCCATGGCATCTCCACTGGAGTGAGACGCATGGGGCTGTCAGGAACGGCTGGGTAAAGCTGCATGCATTTCTAGGGAGCAGAGATGTGCTGGTGCTTCTTGATAGTTTCTCTTCCTGCCACACTTTTGGAAAACAATTGAAGGACTGCCAAGGTCAATGGCACTGCGGTGATTTCCACTGGTGACAGACAGAAAGCTAGGTAAGCCCAGTACTCCTTCTCTCTAACCATAGTATTTGATTGCATGGAAACAGGTGTACCTGCTCAACATTCCTTTCTCTGTGCACTTCCCTGGCCTCCTCTTCTCATCATGCAGATCACCAGTGTGTCCCTGAAGCACAGGATATGATGTCCTCTTGGGAACCCAGCTGGGGAAACTGGAATTCAAAGGTGAATAAGTAAAAATGTGGGGTGTTTTATTTTCTTCTTCTTCTTTTTTAATATATATAAAATAGAGACTGAATTCTGCAAATCTATGTGTGGTTACTTCACTGTTAACCCAAGGGTAAACATCCTCACACTCAAGGCCCATCTCCGCTGACTGGAGCTCCCCATTAAAAGGTCTGTGCTTCCCTATAGCATGTTCTTCAAAAACCAGATGACAATAAGAAGTCGTCTTACTTCAGCAAGGCACCTATTTCACTTCTCTCACCACATCCATAGGAAAATAGCTGTGCTAAATACACTTCGGGATCAAAGCCCCGTTAAGCAGAATAGATTCCATGCACCAAACCGACAGGCTTCTTGCAGATTTGTTGCTATGGTGCTATTGCCTTGAGAAATTAAAATATCACTCATCAGCCTCCATGGGAGCCTACCCAGAAAAGTAACCACCACAAATTAATAGAACATTGTTTTGGCCGCAGTCACCGAGCAGTTAATTTGCTTTAAGCTTTAATCATCCTTAACTTCACGTTTGGCTGTTAACCCACAAACTGATCATTAACTGCATGTAATGAATGACTGATTTCTAAAGGATTGTTCCAAAGCAAGTTGCTTTTTCATTTGTTGCCAAATGACTTTAATATCTCCCACCAGCACATGGGTGACCTATTGATTCCCCCATAAGAATCTGAGGTGAAACAGGGAGGTACTTGCAGGTTATCTGCCTATAAACAGGCTGCTCAGAGCTGATAAACTTGATGGGGCTGCATCCCACTTTCCAATTTCACTCAAGCTTCCCAAAGAGGCAGGAGTAACCTGGCTGGGTTGTTGTGGGTCACAGCTGGAGGTCTTTAATCAACATTCCCAGTGAAACAGCAGGAGTTTGGTTGGCCTGAAACCCAAATCAAGATTTCGCTGGTATTTACTTTGGTGCTTGTCCCTTTCATAGCAGCTGGTTATGGATGAATGTGATGTTGCTGCAGAGATGATCAAATGCCAATTGGACTTCTTGTTTTTTCTTCTCCCTTCAGTTTTAAAACGCCTACAACTGAAATGTTCTAGTGGCAACTCGTTTAGGCTGTTTAGATGTATCTGCTAGTAAATGAAAGGAGCAATTTTTTGTTTTAGGTAAACAAAATCTTCTGACTCACAGTCCCTATGGTCAGCCACGAGACAATCCTCCTCTCCCATCTTAAGGTCTGTGAGGCCCAAGAAGCTGACTCTGACTCACTGAGGAGGGCTGAGGACTGGGCCATTTCCACAGTGTGCACCTTTCTTCCTGACAGCGCAGACAGAAGTCAGACGGGAGAAAGCCTGCACCGCACTGCCCCAGTTTCTCTTCAGGTATCACTGGGCCTTGATTGTTCTCTTTGGTACAAGAATAAGTTAAACTCATATTTGTAAGTATCTGTTTGAACTCCCCTGCACTGATAGGCACAGGCATTGGGAAATTTGTATTTAGTACCACCACTGCTGCATCTTTGAACTTAATTTTGGAAGCACCCCTGTCACCCCAGTGAAAGTAAAACACGATATGGAACTAAAAGCTTCCTGCCAGACTTACAATGCTAAGTGCTGCCAGCTTTTTCTGGAGAAGAGTCTTCAGTAAAATATTTTCTAATTGAGGAATGCTGATTCCTTCAAACTGTTGACTTTCTGGTGAGAACCACAAAGGAAAACATGCCCAATATATTTCTCAAATAAAAGTAATGAAGAAAAAATTAGGAATGTCTAATGTGTTTTCATGTTACTGGCATTTATAATGGTGTTTTCTTTATTCAAATGATGCCTGCTATTTAAATAATTTTACTTTCAAGTGAACAAAAAAAAAAAAAAACAAAAAAAAAAAAAACCAGCATGAAAGTATTGAAATGCAATGTTTCAGTTGACTCCCACTGCTTTTTTTGTTGTTTGCCTGCAAACATTTTCCACAGTTTGAGTTTTCAGTTCCTTTTTGTGACCTTAGAGGTATTTGTTCCATTTCAAGTACCTTCTATTTGCAGAAAACAGCAAGCAGATAATTGTGCCCAAGCAAAAAACAGGGTGAAGCTCCAGCTAAGGCAGGCCATGGAAACACCAGGAAAACATTCCCAGTGCCTCAGCACCTGGTGCCATGGCTTCTCATGGCACAGCAGGGCTCTGCTGTGGGTTGTTCAGACCAAGCATGCCATGGGCCTCCTGTGAGAAGCTGCCAGTGTGAGGCCCAGCAGGACAAGGAAATGGATAGGAGCAGGCTGAGAACTGGAGGGACAGTCATTTTTTATTTTTTTTTTTCTATGTACATTTATTGAATTTTCCAGTTGCAGAAATGCAATCAAGTCAATTCATAGTCCGCAGGAAGAATGTCCTGGTGTAACAAAAACACAAGGTTTCCAGTATTCATTTCTACTGCTAAAATCTTGCAGAAAAGTATCTATTACCACGCACAGGGAGGGAATGTTCTTAACGGGGACAAAGCTCCCAGTGAAATCCTGGATTGTAGCACTGGGACCAAGGTGATGCAGAGGCTGCCACTGCTGCTATTACTGTTTTTAACCCTGCTGTGTCCTGCATCACGGTGGGACCAGCAATACACCAGTAACTTCTGCTGCATTGTGCACTTTTGTAAAGCTGTCTCCTCAGACCACACCAAACTCACATTGGAAAGAGTTTTCCAGATCTCAGTGAGCTCCCAATTCTGCCAGCAGAGCTGATAAGAGGGCCTGAGGCAACAAGCCTGACTATAGGGACAGCCACCTCTGTGATCGCAGTTATCATTGCTCCTGAGGGCAATAACCACAATAAAGAGGTTAATAATAATAAACCCAGATCTCCAAGCAGCAGCACTGCTAGCAGCACTCACTTCATGCCTTGGGCCAAGATGTGGAGAAGCTTGGACTTCGAGGTGCTGAGTGCTGGCCTGCAGGGCTGCTGAGCAGTGTGGGGCTGGACACAGGATGCCAGAGTGAGAGCATCTCAGGACGCCAGGATGCAGGATGTGGGGTGCAAAGCAGAGATGGGAGATGCGTGCTGCAGGATAAGGGGGTGTGCGGATTTCGGGATGTGAGGATGAAGGATACGGGGAAGCAGGGATGCGAGGCTGGAGAGATGGCGAGGCGGCTGAAGGGTTACGGCGGCGGCGGCCGCCCCCTGCTGTCGGTACGGCCGCGGTGCCGGTGGCTGCGGGGCCGGGACTCCTCTGGGAGCTGCTCAGATGTCGCCCGCTGCGCCTCGGGTCGGCACCCGCTGCTGCAGAGCCGCGCCCCTTCTGCCCCGCGATAGCCGCTTCCCGCCAGCCGGCCCCCTGCTTTGGCCCGATTTTGCAAGATGCTGACGGATCCTTGTGTTTTTCGGTTTTTTTCCCCCCCTTTGTTTGTGCCAACACTTGGCGACAAAGGAGCGCGCATTTTCCGTGCAAGCTGTCCCGCGGTGCCGTCGGGTTACTGATTTATCCCATTAGCTTAGAGGTCAGAGTAGCACAATCAGGGGCTATTTGTCCACTAGCTGGAGTCACTCACGGCTGACAAAACCGTCCTCATTTCCAGCCCCCTGCAGCTGCGTGAGAATCAGTGCTGCGAGTAGGAATGGCGCCTGAGCCCTCTACACCCCTTTTCCCAACTGCAGATCGTCCTGAATAAGGCAGCACAGCGAACCGGTGCCTACAGGCAGCTCGGTGGCTCCAGCTCTCCTTTCCCAGGGACTGCTGGGACACCCGCACAGCTCTGCACTGTCGCCAGCCACCTGTGGTGGGGCTACTTTCTTATTCCTTTATTGCCTATTTTTGTTTTCTATTAAGAAAAAAGAAAGAAAAATGAAAAAAGAAAAAAGAAAAAAAAAAAGAAATAGTACACTTTCTCTATTTTCAGAAATGTCCCAATATAGTTACAAACAGGCTGTGCTGTACTAATTTCTTAATCTCCTCTAGGATGAACTAAAAACTTACTCATGTGATTACCCAGGTCTCATCAAATATACACAGGACCAACCCCTAGGACTGGTACATGCAGTACAGCATGTTTTCCGTGGCTGTTCTGTGCCAGTTGTGCAGTGGTAGCAGCACAGCTGGTGAGAACCAGGCCAGCATGTCTCTCAAGCTTCACATCTCTGTCAACCACTTCAGGGGGCTTTTTAGGCAGCCGAAAACTGGTGCTTGGAAAAAAAAACAAAAAAAAACAACAAACCTGCTCACAAAGAGCAGGAGGAAATTATGCCAAGGCAGAGGTGAAATCATCCCAGGGCAGAGATGTGGAAGTTGCCCTGCTCTCTACAAGCAGATTGTTCAGGCACCACACTGCAGAAAAAGAAATGTGTTATTCCATGGATCTTTAATTTTTATCCATTTTTTTATTGGCAGAGCCTGATATTTTCCAGCAGAGTTGTAAACCATCTGTCATGAATTCAAGGCAACTGACAACAGGGTTGATTTTCTTAACTGCCTTTCCCCTACAGATAACCCAGAGGTCCCCCCAGGGCCTGAAGACAATAGGTTGCAAACTGTTGGCATTGATAGATAGGCTTCCTCCCCCTCCATACAGCCTGGAAAAGTGTTTGCCTGTCTTGTTGCTTAAACAAATCAAATGTTCCAACCCCAAACAATGCTAGAGCTAATAATGGAAACAGGGACTGCTTTAGGGTTTGAGTCTCCTGCTTCCTGGTCCTTTCCATTCCCACCCCTCTGCTCCATCCAGCACTGAGATTGCATTTCATTTAATTATGAAGTGTGTGCACATGTGTGGCAAGGAATTACAGAAATCATTCCAAAGATACCAGTGTCTTGAACTGTGGCATTGGTGCGGGATTTAAACTGGCAAGGTGGAGAATTAGTCTTCTAAAGAAGCAAAACCAACAAATCACCGTATGCCTTTCCCTCACCTGGCTCACTCCATCTGATCAATGATCTCTGTATTTGCTCCCAGAGATGGGACCCAGTCATAGGAAAAACCATGGCTGCAGCACCAGTGTGAATACAGAAATACAGAAGCAGGGACATGTTTACTGCTGCGTGCTCCTGGTGGCAAGCTTGGCTTACAGCTCCCGCACCCGTGTGCCAAAGTACCTGTGGTACAGACATGTTAAAACCCTTGCACCACAAAATACTGGATCTATTTTGAGGGTGAGAAAGCATCTGACTAGCAAACTAGCTATGTATGTTTTGTCCTGGCTCTGTTAAAAACCTCCTTTCTAACAGAATATGGGAAGTAATGAAACTGCCTGCAGTAAAATACCTGATAAGCCTTTCCTCTTCTACAGAGAGGGTAAATACATGTAATTTTCCAATTAGCTCTTGCTCTGAGCAATTATGTTGATCAAATAATTGAATAAGTGACAGGAATGTGAATTCTGGAGACAGTTAATTTCCTTCATCTGCCAGTTTATAGCTTGACTTGCGTGAACACATAAACCAGGCCAACATGTTATTTATAACTTTGGAAGAACAACTAACAGACATGAAGAGCTATGTTTTTGGTGTACAGAGATGAAGGTTTCTGCTAGTAAATTACAATAATAGCATAAAAAGTGAGTTTGCTGTTTATAGCCAGCATGTGGGACAGGAAGGATGTGGGGCTTGCAGATGAAACAGTGAGTAAGGTCAGAGGCAGTGCTAGCAGGGCTGGAAGTGGTGCTGATAACTGTAGGGGGCAGAGGGGCAGCTAAAGCCTTACTGTCATGTTTGGTGACTCATGGCATTTGTGCTGCCCTAGGGACTGTCAGCACAGCTCCAACTCTCCTAAGCATCCCTGCCCTTCCACACACCTACCCACCCCTCCTCATATTGAAGCTGAGCATCATTTTTGAGGAAGAGCGAGGACCAAAATCACTTTGCATGGATGATCCTTTGCAAAAGAAACAAACAAGCTGTTTCCTACTTGGGATAGGTCCTGGACAAGAACCAAGATGCTCTGAAAAAGAAGAAAAAAAACCAAAACAGTCCAGCATGCTCAACATTGATGCACAGGAACAACCTTCACAGACCTGGTCCTAATTTCTAGCAAAAGCACAAGACGCAATGGGAGTTTTCTTCAGAATTAACTTGTTAAAAAGAGCTAGGAAAATGCATTTGTTTTTCTTCTTAAAGCTATCTTTAGATTGTCTTAACCAGTTGTACCTTTTATCTAAAGCCCCTGTAGCAATCCAGCCTCCCATCCAACAGGAACTAATTAGCAGAGACATACAGTAATAAAAGTAGCACACAGGCATGAGCCACTGCCTCCCAGGGAGCGTTACCTGGATGAGACCTACGCTGGCTGCAAAGAGGAAAATTGTGCAATTAATTGCTTCCTGATTAAAGACGTTTGCAGTCTGGACCTTACATCTTCAAGGCCTAAGAACAGACACCAAGGTAAATCTGGAGCTTGCCCACAGTTGTTAGAAGACCTCACCACAGACTGCAGCTATTGGTGCTGTAATTTTGGTTTATGAATAAATGCTTTCCTGTCTGGGCATATTATGCCCTAAGCCGAGTCTTCAGAAAGTCAAAACTGAGGGGCAACAGAAGGTCTTGTGTGGGTTTAACTAAATTTCTAAGACAGTTTGGTTAAAGCAGCACCATTCTTCTGTGGGGACAAGATCCGAGGGGAATTAATTTCCCAGGCTGTGAACCAGAAGACACAAAACTCCTCTGGACGATGCTTCAGGCTAGGAGGCTATTTAAATGATGATAAACATCAGGGCAAATCAAGAAATGACCAGTGATTACAGATGCAGCTGGAGAGGGGCTGTCCTAGGTGAAGGGGCCAGGCAGTGGGGAGGCCTGCTGACTGCGCCCTGATGCAGCCGCACCAACAAGATGGGGCTCATCCTCAGGGTGGCCCGAGACCTATTGCTGCAGGAGCTGCTGGGCCTGCAGGCTGGCTGCCATGCAGAGAAACCATCAGGGGAAAACCAAAGGGCAAAACAAGGGTATTTTAGTGCACAAAATTCCATTCTTGCTGCCTCCTGGGAAGCTGCAGGGCTGGTGATTTATGGATCCCGCCAGAGAAGAGCTTTGTTTGGCACCACAGTTTTTCACGCTTGAGTGTCGCAGGAATACACACTTTGTTTGCCTGCATTCTGCTGTTGCCCCAGTATTGTCTCACCATCACTTCTTTGCTAGCTGGCTTTGTGATATTCAGCAGAAATATGCTGATCTTTCAAGCAAGAAAAACATTTTAATATCTAATTAACTCCGACTATAGGAACGGGCCTGTCAAGCTCAGGGTGAAATGTTATGCTCTTAAGCATTCACTTAAGCACCTTGCTGGATGGAAGTTTGAGGAAAAAAGGTGACAGGTCTTTTTTGTGAGCTCCCAGCCCTCCTCCCCACATACATTGTGTTAGTGAGAGCAGTGGGGTGTTGTATGGCCTGTATTATGGAAGGCTGATGCACAGATAGCAATTTAACATGTGATTTGACCACCCTCCTCTACAAAACCAATCCAGTATCTCTACAGGAGAAGTTACATCACGGGGAAGGAAAACAATCACACAATTGTTAGTGGGGGAAAAAAAAAGGAAAAAAAAAAATGAGCAGAATGTAGAACAGGAGCTTATCAGAGACTCAGATTTTGGGAGAAAAATTCCCTGAATCCTGAGGAAGGAAGGATCCTCTGCAGAGCTTCAAGTGCCCTTTTGACAGCCCCATCTCACAGGAGCTGGGCCCCTTCCTCTTGTGAAAACAGGGCCTGGAGAGCTGAAAATGAACTTTAACAGGAGTCCCCAGAGTGCAGCAGGGCTTTGAAGCTGTAATTAAGCAGACTGGGTCTTAACAAATCTGACTGGCACAGGCAGTCGTGTGTGAACTGTGATTTTATAAACAGTAGGAATTACTCGGAGTGCAGACAACCAAAGCTTGGAAGCATCTGAGGTGGGGCTTTCCCTCACCTCACAGTCAGACCAAGTGCCATCTGAAGTTCAGATCTCTGTTTTGCCCAAGCCTGCAAGTGTTTACATCTGGCATGCCTTATATTGCAAGGGATTTGGCTAACTCACCTCCACAAGAACTTGGATTTTAACTTGTCTAGGGAACAGCTGCATTACTTATTTTTAATGACTAGAAATCATCCTTAATTAAAGCATTTATAAGGACTTCCCCAACATCTGTGAAGTAAATTTGACCTCTCCTCCTTAGTCCACCTCCCTATGCAGTGCTTTCAGCAATCACCTGAATCATTTAGCACATCAAAATGATATTTCCTACAGCTGCAGGTTCAAATTGTCTTTTGGGTAATCTAAGCCCATATTTAAGAATCCAGACCCTGCTATTACGTGAAGGGATTTGTATCTCTCTCTTCTTATATGTTGTTAGCTCTTGTCCTGATCTGTTAGAGCAAACAGAACACAATCGTGTCTTCTTGCATTAATCATCAGATGCCTGTTTTGCTCTGCTCACCAATGCAGAGTGCTTGTGAGACACCCACTGGTAACCATGTGCCATCACAGCCCTCTTCAAGTACTTAGGGAGCAGATTCACTTAATCCTCCCAACATAATTTTCTGCTTGGTTGTGAAGTGAGATGTTCAGCATGTGGCAAGGAATGTAACCGTGATCCAGCAAGAGCATAGGGAGGGAGAGAGGATAAATAACACAGAGTCACAGAACTGTGATCCAAAATTGCCATAAAGCTGTCCTGGTTTGTCACGTAAACTTCTGGGAAGAGAAATGCTGTTCAGTGGCCAGTACAGTCCAGGCCTCATGGTATCATTTGCTCTCTGCTGTGTCAAACTGAGGACATCTGCAGCACAGAATCTTGCTCAACCTCTAGCCCTGAAGTCAAGGATGGTATCATGGGATATGCTGCAATCATTTAAGTTTCATTAGCAAAGTTTCCTAAATACTCTGGAAGAAATTGTTCTCTGTTATTGTGGTGGCTCAAGAAAATTCTCATCTCTTACGCTAGTTAGCATCCATTGTGTTATAAAGAACTTAAATTTATTTTTTATAAAAGCAGAATACTACATGTGATTGGGAAACATTCTTTCCACAGTTTGTGATGTTCGTCTTTATGCTGGCTTTCAGAATTGTAGACACTGGACATGCAACACTACACTTAAACCTCTGGGGAAAAGGATGTGTCTACAGGCTGTGCTCACAAAACTCTGACAGACAGGCCACATTCTGGAGTTTAATTTCTTCACAGAATACATGCTGGGAGCCTTAGGTAAAAGGCAACCCAATTAAAACACGACTTGCACAGCAAAAGGAACATAAGGAGTGCTTAGGATCTACTGCATGGCTGTGCTAGAGTACAAATCTGCATTATGAAAGTGAGATTGGTTGAGCTCTTGTTTGGAATTTCATTTCAATATTGAAATATAATGACAAGGAGCCATGCAGGCTTGACTATGAAACCTTTCACTTAGCCAAAACAAGTTAACAACCATAACGTAGATGAAGCTGAGATAAGCAAGTTTTCACACCCATGCAGGGGCCAGTCAAGCAAAATGTCTCTCAGGCAGATTGAAAGTTACTTGTTGATACATACCTTGAAAAAAGTAGACAGCTGAGAATCTGAGATCCGCTGAAAGATGTCTGCTGATGATGGAGAAACACAGCAGGAAATCATGAGGAATTAAGAGTACAAAAATCAGCACAGGAGAACAGCACTACCAAACAAGGAAGAAAAGGAACTGTGAGGTGTCGGCCCTAACACCCACATCTTTTGGTTGAGCATCTTCATTTCCTATTGTACTACAAAAATGTCCAAAAACAAGCTGCAAGGTAGCACAGATTTAATGCTCATACCTACCCATGGCATGCTAAGTTTCAAGTGATAAAACTCCACCTAGGGAAAAGATGGAGCTTACTGCAACATTCAAGCTGAGTGTGATAATGGAAAAGTTCTCTCTGGAAGATAGCAAGCCTCACAACATTACACTCTCCTAGTTTGGTATGGCTTAATACATCCACCTCAAATCATAGTAGATTACAGCTGATCCTCTTCTTGATTTTTCTGAGATAGTATTTTGAAAAAGACTTTCTTCATTGCACCTTATTAAGCCACATGCCAACTTTATAGAAATGGAACATAATGGACAGTGCAACTGACATCCTCTGGCTTTTATCACCTTGCTGCCTCTTACAATCACATCACAAATGTTGACTGACCTGAAGCCCTTCAATATCACTGAAGATTTATTAATGGACTTGATCTTTGAATCAGGCCCTTAAGGTCCTTTTTCTGATGATGTAATAACAGAAATAAATCACTAGTGTTGTATGTCCCAAAAGTTTTAATATATCGTTCCCACTGTTCAGAAAAGTTATTGCATAAAATTCTAATACATAAATTCATCTGAATAACAATTAAAGAAAGTATACACCACAATTTTGTCAGAGCAGCTAAAGGAAACCAGATTTCATATGCAAATCCCTCATAGAGAAATAAAACAAAGCCTTAGCAAAATTACAGTTCTCTCTTCCCCAAATCAACAGAACTGCTATTGTATTATTTAATAGTTACTGCAAATTTTCATTGGAATCACACCACCTCCACAAGCAAACAGCTCAGAAAAAGAAAAACCCCATTTCAAACTGATATATGCAAATCTGAAATGTATTTATTAAACAATGACTTTTAGCACACACTGGCTTTATCTGTTAACTGAATTAACATACAAAGTGGGTTTAATGCTATTTACACTCCATTTTCCTTAAGCCAATGTTTTCCTTTCATTATGACTTTAGAACAAACTCACAAGTTTCAAAATACCAATGCTCCTTACAGTTTATAGAACTTGACCTTGTGTGCATTGCTAACAGGTACATGAATACATTTGAGCACCGAAACAAAAGGCCAGATTCCCTCATCTATTAAAGCCAACATCCATGTAAGCCTACAGCTCCATGATGGCAGCTGATAGACCATCAGGAGGACGTGCATGCTTTTACTAGATTGATGAAAGGAATGGTGACAAGGACATAACAAAGTGCATGGCAGAATTAGATCTTACATTTCACCCTCTGATTAGAATAAGATGTGCTGTGCCAGCTTGTAACAGAAGCATGAATAGGGCTCTTCAATTTAACAGCATGCCAGAGCCAAAAAATGGCATCTACAATTCAGCTTCTTACACAAAATCCTCAAGCATCACAATAATCAATCTTGAGCTGTAATTCCACAGCTACCCCCCTCTTGCACAGCAAAAAAAGGAAGTGACCTAAAGCTCAGATATTTATTCTTTGCTCACAAGTAAATATACTTTCTTCCGCTTCACATAAAACACTGAAATATACCTGTCTTCAGAGAAAAACACCCTCCTTTCTCCCCTTCTTTCACACTACCCATCGTAATGGTGAGTTCTCACTTACAGTTCACTGAAAAATTAAGCAAGGCCAGATTACTACCCTTGCTTACTTTGAACAGTTGATAGAAAATACATTACTTCAATGTAATTCACTAGGCTCTGGTATCTAAGAGAGTTCACTGGTGGAAAAAAAATGCCTGTTTGGCAAATACAGCTATTTCAGTGGTCCTCAAACCCTTTTTAGCTCAGGCTAATGAGTTACCCTTTTAAAAAACATTTACTAAAATTGTTTTTGTTGCTGTTACTTTCTAGCAAAATGACCAAATTGGTCATTTTGGACTTGGATAGCAAGTAAGCAGATGCTTGGCAAAATCTGACAGCTCAAGAAGCACTTTAAGAGCAAGAGAATGAAAACTAGCCACTAAAGCAAAAACTGCATAGAGCTGGAAGTGTGAAAACATGAAGAAATGACAAAGCTGCAGTAGAAGCAGTTACACAGGATATTATACTAGTGATTTCTTGTTTCTTCATGCAGTCATGAGGCAATCATTACCATGACATAAATCGTAAAAGCTTTCATTTGAAAACACAAGAGGAACAAGATACTCAATTATCCCACTTACGATCTTGTTAAGATCTTATTAAGTGTCCAGTATAAGATTATGCAGCTGTAACAATTTTAGCTCAATTAAGAAGGCCTGCAAAATGAAGGGGAAGAAGTTTATGCAGCTTAGAAGGCAATGCTGATAGCCTTCTGAAGACAGCCTTTGCATAAGCCTATTTTGATTTCAGAAATACAGAGCAATATAAGCATCACCAATCCAAACCAAAAAACATTCTCATGGCATGAATACCATCTACATTCAAGTTCTCAATCAAATGCAGTCCTTGTGTGTTCTGTAAAAAGGAACGTTCTTCTGGGTTGGTTATTGCTATATTACAGGAAACAAGGTAATATTTTCAGGAGAGTTACAGTATGCATTTTGTAGATCACATAGTTCACAAAAACCCTTATGGTCAGTGTCTTTATCCTCTGCTGCTTCTATAGGGCAAAGCTAGAATTCTGTTTCTCCCAAATGACACAGTATCTTCATGAAGACCCTCTCCCTGACTCGAACATTTTGAGAGCATTTATGCCTCTTTGCTGTGGTTTCTAACCTGCAGGTAATGGCCCATAATGCACTTCAGACAGAACCTCTAGCAAGAACGCACAGTTCATCTGATGCACTTGACTCCAGTGAAGTCTGTGAGAAAACAAGGGGAATACGAAGGGGAAGGGAAAGTACCCTTGTTTCTTCTCTGAAAGGAAAAAGTGTTTCTGACAATAAGGAGCTCTGCTTTCAGAGCTGTAACTTGACAGGCAAGCTTATTAAAGAGAAACAGCCCCTACACTCAAACACAAAAATCAATTCAAGATTATTAATTTAGATCTGTTCTAGAAATGAATTAAGAGATTACATATGTAAGAGAAACTGAGGAGTCTGCACTGCTATCAAACAAAGCTGAATATCAAAACCCATGCTGTTTATCTCGACTGCTGAGTCACATCTAATGGTGGACGTGCCTCACCAAACACCACACCCTGGGAGCGTTTCAGCACTTCCCTTCTACCAGAGCACTGCCTTAAAAAAAGCACACACACAATGATGTGACAAGAAGTGATCTTTTCCTGCTGAACAACGTACATATATTTAAGGTTTTCACAAACATTTGGCCAAAAATTGTACATCATAGTACTTCCCAAGTCACAAACACTACATTAACCATTCTTACAGGATATGCTGTACAAGGACACATGATTTCAACAGCTACCTCTCACTTTCCTGCACCCCCTCAGAAGAAGTGTTGGACCCTTGAAGCCTTTGACTGTAACTTCAGTCTCTGCAATCTTGCAACCAGACTTCCTCATTTTCCAGGAGCTCAAAAAAACCATTTAGTTCACATATGCAATGTACAGTGTTTTCACTAACTGCTTTCACACTCTGTTCATAAGAACTGTTCGTTTACTTCACACCACAGAGGTGGTACTTTCTGGATTTACTCGCATCAATCTTGAAGCATTTCTCAGATCCTGTAGCTGCTTGGCTGGCTTTCCAACTCCCTCCTCAAATCTTTTTTCCACAACAGGAAGGACAGTTTCATAAAGGAAGGATGCATTCTGCCTAATGAATGCTTTCTTCTCAGGGTCCTGTTCGCACCGTAAACTGTAATCAACATGCTGGACAGCCACTAGGATGATTTCCACAAGGCTCTCCAAAAGAACCATGTGCAACTCTGGAAAGTAAAGCTTTAATGCTTCCTCCAAGAAGGCCATAGTCTGCTTAGTGAAAGCTACTACAGTATAGCTAAGGTTGACCCAGCAGTCATCACCAGTGTATTGGTCAAAATTGCCTACGCCGCAGCTCTTCATCTCCTCCCTGAGTTTCCCCAGAGCCTCTGGAGTCATGAGGTTCATCCTCCTCCACATCTCCTCAGAGTTGCGGTGCTTGGTGGCCTCGATGATGATATCCTTGTAGCTCTGCAAAGCACCTTTGATATCCTTTACCAGGAGGGCATGAATGATGAAGGTGAGATCCAGTCCAATGTCGCTGAGCTGCTTGCAGTGCTCTTTAGCTACCTTGGGTATTAAGGAAAAACAAAGTGTTATTTGATAAATTGGGTAAACATAAATATAAAGGGGAAAATATAAAGGGATCACAGTTCACTTACTTCTGCCTTGAGAAACTCCTTATTACTGAGAAATCAAAAATCAAAGGACAAGCCCTGGTTGCCAAGAACACTGGACAATTATATTGTAATCTATTTCTCCCCCCATAACTTGAGAAAACTGGTTACATAAAAAATTAAGGAAGCGTAGTCAGATTTGGAAAAGCAAAAATAAGTCTTCAAAATACTCACTGTTCAGATGAGATTATACAAATTTTAGGATTTCCAATTAAAAGCAAATTAAGGAAGAACATATTCTGCATTTCTGATAAGGGCAGGGTTTTTTTCGCTGTGCATTTTCATCTTAATATTTTGTCTGTTAAATTTAAAAAACAAACCAACTCCAAATGAAGATGAGCAGTTTAATGAAGGAAACTCTTCCAGAGTTGCACCCAGTCAACAACTACACTAGAATACGAAATGAAGACCTGCAAGCTTTGTTCAGGCCATCATGGCACACCTCCCTCTTTGGGCACTCTTACCTTCACACATTCCGCTGCAGTTGACAAGCTCTCTTTACTGTCAAACACTTGCTTACTAAAGGCATCTACAAACATCCTCATGGAAGAGCGGGCCCACACAACGAAGGCAGAGTAGCAGCCATTGTTGCCAGCAAAGTCCGTCTCAAACTCTCTGGCCGTCTCTAGAAGGCTAGTGAAAAAGACGTGGCAGAGTTTGTGGATGTAGAGCAGCGTGGCACCTTCAATGCGCAGCTGTCGGATGGCCGTGTGCACCGCGGCTGCACGGTTCTTCAGGAAGAGCTCACATGCCTTGGTGGACTGGCCCAAGCGAATGAGCTGGGACACGGCTCGGCGCGTGGCTCGTGGCCCTCCTCGCAGCGAGCGGTCCGGAGACAGCTCAAAGACCAGCACGTCAGTAAGCTGCCGGACCCGCTCATCCACTTTGGCCCGCAGCTCCTTCACGGGCTGGCTCGCAGGCTTGTCTCCCAAGTACTCGTTGAGTTTATCGAGCAGGTCCACAGCCCCTTCAAAGTCCCGCTGAGCAATGCAGACGTCCAGGTCCTCCGGCAGCTCCTGGATCCACTCAAGCGAGAGGTCAACCGTCTCCTCCTCAGCAGAGGGCTCTTCCTCCTCCTCCTCATCCTCATCCTCCTCGAAGGGGTTGGTGGACTCAGGTGTTGGGGCGGGCCGGGGCAGGGCCTCCTGCTCCAGGCGTCGCTTCTCACTGAGGGCCCGGTTGCGCTTGGTCTCCTCCAGCACCTCCAGCCACTCCTTCTTGATCTTAGCGTTCTCGGCCTGGAAGATGCGACTCTCGGGGAACATGAGCAGCTTGAACATGTCCTTCATGGGCGGGTTGTCCTTGACGTTGATCACGGCCAACCCTTCCAGGGGGTACAGGGCGTCGTAGCGGTAGGCGCCGCGGCGGTTGGGCAGGGCGGTGGCCACCAGCAGGCAGTCGTTCATCAGGAAGGCGTGCACCCGCTGGATCTGCGCCATGTGGTCGGCGTCGTACTCCAGCAGGTCGCCGTTGTACACCAGGTACTTGCCGGGGCTCTCGGGCAGCAGGTCGCGGCAGCCCTCCACCTTCTCCAGCAGGGTGGTGAGCGTCCGCTGCCGGCCCTCCTCGCTGGCCGCAGCCTCCTTAGCCGACAGTGGCAGGAAGGGGTCGGCGGCGGCGGCGCGGCGGGCGCCCAGGGCGGGGTCGTCGCGGTCGGCTTGCAGGAGTAGGGCCTGTGTGACGGCCTCCATGATGCCCTTCTGCTCGGTGAGGATGTGGCTGAGCTGGTACATCTCGCTCTCCAGGTAGCTGATCTCCCGCGCCGTCTCGATGAACTGCCGGTAGTTCTGGTAGACGTTGCGCTTCAGGCTCTGCGCCGTCTCCTCTTGGAGCGCCTGGATGCGCTGCCGGTGCTCCTGCAGATCCCGGTCGCCGTCCGACTGCTGCGACAGCTGCTTCACGTACTCCGCCGCCGCGAAGCCCCCCGACTCCAGTTGCCGCCGCAGCCGGCTCCCCCCGCCGCCGCCGCCGCCGCCGCCGCCCTCCCCGAGCGCCAGCGCCATGGTCAGCACCCGCCGCCGCTGCTAGGGAAACCTCGACTGCGCTTGCGCACGGAGCCCCGGACGCCTCTCGAGACAGCTTTGCTGCCGCCCTTACGCACGCGCAGCCGCTCCGCTGGAGAGCAGCGTAAGAGAAGCGGCGATCGGGGAGGAGCGCAGCGCACAACGCACGCGCCGGAGGAGGCGCAGTTCGTACGTAAGCGCCCGGTGAGGCGTGCGCATGTGCATGCGCAATTGGACTGAGCTGGTCGTTGGAATGTGTCGCGCAAAGCGCATAGTAACAGTGGTTCGAATGTTGACAGTGGTTAGCATGGAGCGGGAGCAGCAGGAGGAGGACGATTATAACTTCGCGCTGGCGCTGCAGGTCCAGGAGATGTGGGAGGAGGACGGCGAGGCGTCAGCGGCGGCGTGTATAGAGGCCCCGCCGGACCCCGCTTCCCTCAGCCCGCTGTCGGTGGTGGATGAAGCCTGGGAGCTGCTGGACCCCAACCCCGACGTGCGCGCCCTCTTCGTGCAGTTCAACGAGGCGTTCTTCTGGGGACAGCTGGCGGCCGTGGAGGTGTCCTGGAGCCCGCGCATGACTCTGTACGGCCGGGAGGGGGAAGAGGGAAGAGGGGAGAGAGGAAGGGGGAGGCGGGGCTGGGAGCCCACAGGTGCCGCTGCTGGGGTTGTGCCGCCTCCTCTGCTGCTGGGGCTCCTCGGGCACCCGAGAGGGTGTCGAGCTGTCAATTCTCAGCTGGCTTCGCGTATTGTAAAAGCGTGTCGCTGTCATTGTTTTGTTCTCGGGTCTCTTTCAGCTGCGCCGGGGTGTGTAAATATGAAGGAAACGGTGGGATGTGTTCTATTCGTCTGAGTGAGCCGCTTCTGAAGTTAAGGCCGAGGAAGGATCTGGTTGAGGTACCTAAAGGCTGCTGGTATATTCAGACATGAAATAGATGGCGCCTCGCCTCCTACATCTAATGTTTCATAGTGGAGTTTGTGTGTATGGTGACTCAGAGATTGTGAAATAGTGGGGATGCTCAAGTTTGCTTGATGAGCAGATGCTGTAATTTCAACTTTCTTACATGTAGCTCTCTGGTTGTGGAGGGGGTGATCTCTTTAAAAGTCTGACAAGCTTCAAGATTGTTTCTTTTCACAGTATCACTCAGTATTGCACATGAGTAGAATTAAGGAGCACACATAGAATAACCGTTGTGGAATGTCACTCAGTATTATATAGAAGCAGAGTTAATGACGTCACAGTAGAATAACTGCTGTGTTTTTATGACTCAAGCGCAACAGATGAATGTATGAAAATTAGATCAGTGCCAAGATGAATGAAAAAGATTAAAATATTTCCAGCTTAGTTTGTAAATTACGTGTAATGCCCTTCAATTAATAATGATTTTTATTGTTTCAGACACTGTTGCATGAAATGATCCATGCCCTGCTTTTTGTTACTAACAATGACAGAGATCGTGACTCTCATGGGCCAGAGTTCCGCAAACACATGCGTCGCATTAATCGTTTGACTGGAGCCAACATCACAGTAAGCACAGTCCACTTCATGTAATATATATAGTCATAATTTGTTACCATAGTTTTTCAATACTTTGAGTGTGGTACAAATAATGCACTTGTTTTTTTTCAAGCACTCTGTAGTTGGCACAAACACAAATTTGCAGCCACCTCTGACAATTCTGTAGGTGTTTTGCTGGGAGGGGAGAGGGGTGTTGGAGGGAATAAGTTGAAGGTGTGTTGTAACTGTCACGTGTAACCTCTGTAAGAATTTTCATTTAACACTGGTTTAAAATTTGCAACAATTTGTGAATTCAGGGTCAGAATAACTCTGTGGTAACAATAATATTTGGGGAATAGCAGCCTGTTTTAGTTGAGATCAGTAGAGCCTGATGAGTTCATGGTATTTTAAGATTTGTGTACATGATAAGATTTTAATTAACATAATAGCCAGAGGAAGAATATAATGCTAGTATTGTGTACATTTGAAATAGGTTTTATTGCAGCTGATGTAAGGCAGCCAGGATATCTCTGTGTCATGTCTTTTTTAAAGCTGTGTTTTAATTGCATTTAAATGTTCATCAAATTTTGCCCAGATTCAACTATTTTAACTGATAGCATAGAAATGATGACAGTAAGGTATCTTTGGGATTAAAATGTAAAACCAGAATGTGGGGAGCAGGGAGAACTTGTTTGTCACAATAGTAGAATAAAGTTTTATCAAAGAGGTGCAGTAAACTTGGAAGGGTGTTTCAAAACACAGAGCACGTGCCAGAATCCTTAGGAGAATAAACTGTTTATTTTGCAAGGAAGGCACTTGAAGAAGGACTTTGTGCTATGTCTATTCCATTAGCAGCTAAGCTCTGTTTCCTTCTTGGTACCTTACAGGCCTGCAGGAGGACTTCACCTTTGACCTGTATTATGAAAGAATGTGGTGGTCATGGTGTATGAGTGTGTATGAGAAGTTTGTAGAAATAGCAACGACTAAAATAAGAATTCTTCTGAGTGACTGGATCTTGTTATATTTTTGTTACAACCTAGATCTATCATAATTTTCATGATGAGGTGGATTCGTACCGCCAGCACTGGTGGCGATGCAATGGCCCCTGTCAGTATATAGAACCTTACTTTGGGTATGTGAAACGTTCAATAAATAGAGCACCCTCTGCACGAGACTTGTGGTGGGCTGAGCATCAAGAGAGTTGTGGAGGTACATTCACAAAAGTGAAAGAACCTGAGAACTTCTCTAAAAAGCGCAAGCAGAGAACCGACACAGAAAAACTTCAGAATTCCAAGTCAAGTAAGAAAGGTATTTAAAATTATTTCTTCATTTTCCCAACTGTTCTTATAAGCAGTCCCTTAAGCAAATATCATTATGTGAGATTTATGTTAGACATTACTATTACATAGAAAAGAACAGGGCCCATCTTGTTCATTTCTAGGTTTTTCAACTTAATTGTTCTCAAATTTTATTTTGCTGCATTGTTTTCAAGCTGCAGATTTTTTTCGTATAAGCCCATGGTTTATATATAAAAATGATGCTAGTTTTTGTGTTTTCTTCTTTGCAGTCTGTGTGTGTGTGGATGATAAGGAAGATAAGATAGATCCAAAGCCTTTTAGTGGGAATGGGTATCGACTTGGAGGAGCAGACAGTGGACTCTCAGAAAAAAGCTTAACATTCAGCAGCAATGTTACAGATAGTGAAAGATCTGATTCACAGCATCGTTCAGCAACAAGCACAATACCAATTCCTAAAAATGAGATAAAATTTGAAGAATCACCCTGTCATAATACCTACTTTCCTCTCTTTACTGGTGATGCAAGTGAGGAAATGAACTTAGCTTCAAAGGAGGAGTTCCCTGAGCTCTCTGTTGCTAATACCAAAGCATACAAGAATGTTAATGGATCACCTGTTAAAGTTGCTGATGTTGTGGAAGAAAACTCAAAACAAGGTTCTGCAAAAGGCAAGAGGGCTTTGTCACCGTGCTATCACAGGTCACCAAAACAAGTTTGTCTTCAGCAGACTGCAGCAGATGAGACTCCATCCGACGAGAAGAAAAGTTTGGAAAGTACAGTGCAGCAGTGGCCAAGAAAGGAGGACCAAATTACCTTTGAAAGCTATTTCATAAAAAAGACGACTGATGTGGCTTTAAGCAGAAATACACCTCTGAAAACTGAAGCTGAATCTGCAGTGTGCTCTCCAAGATCCAGCACTGCTGAAAGGCAGGAAAAAAATGTCACTTGTCCTGTATGCCAGACTCAGGTTTTGGAGTCTAAGATAAATGAGCACCTCGATTCTTGTCTTACTCGCTCAGAGGAATCCTTCATCTGGAGCACTGTCATGAAGAGAAAAGAAAAATAAAACTGCAGACTTTTAAGGCAGCTCTTAAAATGGAGACGTTCTAAATCCTGCTAATTTATCTTTGTTCCTTGGACTGTAATGTATTGGTATTAATGTATTTTTGGCTGTTTTAAAGTTAACTACCCATAAGAGAAAAGAATTACTCTCCTTGTTGCACTGAAGTTAAACAGCAGGTATCTTTAGAATAGCAAGTATTTTGTTTAAGCCATCATTACACACTCAGGTAGTAGTTATTTCCTGTAGATAAGATAATCTCAAGGGCTTTCATTGAAGGTGGGAGAAGCATAGGCACCACAAACGTAGCTACGTAGCTAACAATCCATTTTAAGCTTGGGATTGTGGAACAGGAAAAGGGAAACTCTAGAAGTTCAGTAAAGATGCTAAGAAATCAAAGCATGTTTGGAAGATGAGAGGGCTCTAAGCTCAATTTAAAAAGAATTAAAGTGAGCTTTGCTTTCAAAAGGATTTGAAAGTTAGCCATGCTGTTAAAAGGGTGAGCAAATGCAGGCTAACGATTCTCAATATTCTGTGTGCCTTTTGGCCAGGGGTCCCAGCTAGGCCTTCTAGCTACTTTTCTTTGATGTTTTGCACAAACTCAGTGAGAGTTCACTATTTTTGATGATGCAGTTATTAAGTATGTGAGTAACTGCCCTGCATTATATTGATAAGTAAAAGTTATGAGCAGTGGTAGCAGTGCTGCTAAAAACTGTTTTTGGCCATGTTTTAAAAGCTTCCTCCTACTCCACTGAAAGTATTTAACTGATTAAACAATTTTTAGCTTGATTACTTAGGTATAAAACTGGTTATAAATATTTTTGCTAAAAGAAGAAATATATTTTCTCATATGGCATTACTACAACAACTTTAAATGGCTATCTTAGTTGTAGATGCACATATTTTTGCCTTTATTTATAGTTCTTTTCTAAGACTAGGAAATAAGCTGATAGGGAATAGAGATTAGTAAATGACATGTTTGCTCCTTTAAAATACTGTTGTATTTTAAAATGTTGACACTGAGGACGTTTAAAGTGGATCTGATTGTTCTTATATGTTCTAAATAAACTGGTTCTGAATTCTACACTTTCGTTAAGCCTGGTTTTCTCATGGCAGTCATACATTAGTCATCAGTGCTCATGTTTATGTTTCCAGTGGCAGTCTAGTTTAAAATACCCTTTCTATATCAACACTTTTCCATCTTACATTTCCCTCCAAAAGCACATACTACCAAATACGTGTTTATTGACCTCTGCCATCTCCATTGTGTGTTTAATACAGTTTTACTTACAGTTATATTTCTTTGGATCCCTCCCCTTGATTTTCCTCTTCCCTAGGCTAATCAGTTCCAGCTCTCTCAGCCTTTCCTTATAAGGGAGATGTTCCAGGCATCACCTTAGTGCCACTCTGCTGGACATTCTCCAGTAGTCTCCTGTCTTTCGTGAACTGGGGAGCCCAGAACTGGACACGGGGCTCCAGCTAGCTGTGAACTCATCAGGGCAGAGCAGAGTGAGAGGATCACCTCCCTCTACCTGCTGGTTATGCTCTTTGTAATGCACCCTAGGATACCAGCATACTGAAGGGTAGCAGGAACAAAAGGAATAAGGGTAGGTTTCTGAGAAAAAAGGTGATAGACATCTTCCCTGAATAACTGGAGCAGTTCGTGGTAACCATGAGGTGATGCAGCATGTCTTTGCTGCAGAATGTTAAGAAACTGTGACCACAGCTGTGTGCATCATGTCTTCTGGAGGCAGTCATCCCTCAGCAAGGTGCCTGCACATCTGCTGTCCCATTTGGCCAACCTGCATTGAATGGCCACTGCGAGGTCACTTTTGAACTGAATTCCTCTGCAAGCGTACATTTATAGCTGCCTGACACAGTCATGCCTGACAGCTGTTTTCCATCAGCTGTTTTTCACACACTAGCCACCACTCACTAATTTTTCACTCTAAATTCCCCAGGTTCTGACTTAATCTGAACTATTATAGTCTCTTTGAAGTCCAAGGATTATGAAAACAGTTGTTTGTAAGTTAAACATTCTACTTGCATTTACCCTTACAATGTGATTTACAGGTAGGGTGTCCAGAGGAGCATCTTGCGTTCAGTATGTTGTGTGCTTGTACGTGTTATAAACAAAGCCACCAGGCGAGGGACCTTTTGGGATTCTCCAGTACGCCGTTAGATGGCACTCCTTACACTTAAGGAATGCTTATTTCTCCCTTAAGCTGTGCAGGGGAAGGGAAGGAGTGGAATTGGTAGGGCCTTATCCTGCCTCCACCAGCACTTCAGGCTGAGGGCAGAGCCACTGCCGAGGTGGAGGAGGAAGGATAGGGATAGGAGGGAGGAAGGGAGGTCTGGAACCAAGTGAGATCTGAGAAGCAAGATCTTCAACTCGCTTTCCTTGGAGTGTTTGGCATCTCTGCAGGAGGGACTTGGAAGATGACACAAGAGCTCCTTTTTCTAGCTCAGGGTTCAGCGAATAACAACAAAGGTGTCCTTTCATAGTGCACATGTACCATGCCTATTGCATCCATTGCAATGAAGAGTCTGATTTTGTCATAATTTGGCATTAGCCCAGATAAGGGAAGGAAGGCAGAGCTGTAAGGAGCCAGAGAGGCTTATAAAGCAGAAAATGCTTCTCCTGCTCCTTTTTCTAAGCCTGGGAGGTGTGACAAGCTCAGGAAAGGGGTAATGTACTGCAAGTGTGAAAGATTAAAAAAATAAAAGTAAAAAAAGAAATAGTCCATGGCCTTAATCCCTTGTTTCCTTTTTAGCTTCTGCCAGGCCAGGCTGTTTAAGACTAGATTAAGTCACTAAGAAGGTGCAGCAGCTTGGCCTAAATACCTCACCCTGTCCCAACCATCCCTTATCATTGGCACCATCTCAGTTGCTTTTTTGTCCTGGTCTGAGAGCCTAACCTTGTATGCTGGGCAACACAGAATGGATAAAGGAGCAAGAAGCAACAAGCTGAATATTTGGCTCCCCTATTGCCCAGTTTGGAAGCAATGAGTACTTCTTTCTTTAAATGGCATCAACCTTTGGGCCTCCACTTGTGTACTCACTGCACCTGCCTTCTCCTTACAGGTCTGTCAGAAGATGCATAGAAAGCTGGGGTTAAAATGAAGGCTAGATATCCCACTGTGGTATCTTAGCTATAGGAATAGGGTTTAGTTGGGGGTCATTCTTAATTCAGCAAGTCACCAATAGGCGGAGCAGCTACAGGTCCTCCCTGACGCTGTTTCTTACTACCCTTACCTTCCTGCTTTGTTTCCTTCTCTCGTGACACCATCATCCAGGCCATGCATCAGAGGCTTCAGGAGGAGACGGAAAGCACCACGGCAGAAAACAAGGTAAAGGGAGGCTCTGCCCAGCCAAGGCTGGTGGAGGAGCAGGCAGCTGGGTCACTGCTTCTCACTGCCCAACCCTGGGAAGCTGGGTTTATTGGTGCTGCAGATGATTCGGATGTAATTAATTTTGAATGTACCTGTGAGAGGTTTAGAAGGCAGGAAAAGCACCTGATGGTAGGAGGTGAGAGGTATTTCAGGCGCTGTAAAACCCCAAAGGACTACTTGAGCTATCTGGCAATGTTTCCCTGGCAATTTCATGTAGTTAAGAGGACATCACCCAAGAAATTTTACTGCCAATGTTTGAGCAGGCCCTGGGTTCCTGAAGTGCGTTTTTGTCAAAACAGACACATAAAATGTAGTCATAGAATCTTTAAAGTTGGAAAAGACTACTAAAATCATCTAGTGCATCCATCAGCCCATCCCCACCATGCCCACAAAATGAAGTCCCTCAGTGCCACAGCCACACATTTCCTGAACACCTCCAGGGATGGTGACCCCATCACCTCCCTGGGCAGCCTGTGCCACTGCCTCACTGCTCTTTGGGAGAGGAAATGTTTCCTAATATCCAACCTGAACTTCCCATGGCACAACTTAAGGCTGATACCTGTCATCCCAAAGCATTCCAAACGGTAAGTGATGGTTTGATTCAAAGCATTTTTGGAAGATGTTTTGGACACCATCATTCCCTAGAAAGAATGAGGAGACCTGAGATTAGAGAAGGATGTCTAAAATTCCCCTAGTCCAGGCTTTCTTGTAACCCTTTTTTAGGCAGAGCTCTCCTATGCTAAATGAAACTGCAGGGACTGAGTCACTCATAGAGTCGTGGTCAGTCCATGTCCAACCTGGAGCAGATCCCAAGAGAGATGCTGCCTGGTTTCCTCAGGAAGGGCGGAGGAGTGGAGGTCTCTGCTGCTGGGCCTGGTCTTTGGCACTGGGTTGTTATACAGTGCCCAGCCCCTTAGTTTTTGTGTTTCTCTGCTCCTCCATCCCATCCCTGGTGGATTTTCTGCAGCAGGTGACATTGACAGAGCAAGGTAAAGCTGCCTCACCTTATCTAAACAACAGCTTCCGCTATCATATCAAGTACCAACAGCACAACCGAGAAGCATGTCCTGTGGCCGCTGGAAGCTGAAGCAGATCAGGCTCCTTTGGGCTACTGACAACGCTAGGGGGACCCAGCTGCTCGCTGTTGCTCCCCCCCAGCTCTGCACGAGGTTTCCGAGGTACTTCTGCATTCCAGCTACATGCGATGCAGATAACAGCTCATGTGAGCAAGTTTGCTGAGTCATGAATGAAAATGATCGGGCAGGGAAAAAAAAGCCCAGCACTTTGTACTTCCATGGCCTCGTGTGAAGTCTAATTTTTACTGTAAAATAGATTTCCTCACTGGGAATTTCATACCAGAAGTTGTTCTAAATAGAACAAAAATTCAGGTCCAAATAGTTAATTGACTATGGTTTGGTCTTGTTCATTAAAACTTGACTGTGCAGAACACGTGCCCATCATTATCTTGTAGCTGGGGAAAGGAGGACTGAAGGGAAATATGCCTTACGTAGCAGCTGAAACCTTACCATCAGCATATCATCTCTGCTGGAAGGAATGGTGTCCGCTAGACTCTCATCTCAGAAAACAGATCTAATTATTACACACGACCCTGAGTCCTTTTACCAAATATTAGCAGTGTTTTGAACCACACTGTCCTCGGAGAAATGAAAGGTAACACACGTGACTTGTGCTAGTTTTGATCTTTGTTTGTTTGGCCCTTTGTACGATCCTTGCTGTCTTTAGGTACTGAAATACTGACTCACAATGCAACTTACTGTTCAGCCACATGAAGACAGTAGTTCTGAGCTCATGGCTAAAACAGCTGGTCATCCTTCCCAGCATTTATCACCACTGAGTAGGTTAGAAGATCTCCTGAAGAACACGCAAGCTACTGCCAATAGAAATGTAATCCCAAGCTGTTCTTTTAATAAGAGGGAAAAGCTCCCCAAAGTCCACATCTGGAAGGCAGACAAGGAAACAGCTCAAGTAGAATGTTCAGACCTCTTATCTTCAGACATAAAAGTATGATGTTTCGCAACAGCACCCATGAAGAGAAAGGCAGATGGGATGAATCAGCAATTGCCTTTCCTGAGGCAAACATGCAGCATATCCTCTTCTCTTGTTTGTCTCCCACGGAGACACCTATAACATTTTTGCGTGGTTATGTTCTATGTTCCCCACACCCATCCCATACATTTTATTTTGGTGTCATACTTCAGTTCTCTTCCTGCCCTGCTTTCCCATTTCTAATTCAACCCTTCCTTCCTCCCTGTCCTGCTATGGACTTGAGTTGGTGATCTGCACCTCATCTGCTCCTTCCATTTTTAGAGCCAACTCTGAGTACTGATTCCCACAAGGGAGTTCTGGGCTTGTGCCTATCTTTGCTCAGGAAGCAATACATGTGCTGTATATTCACTCCTCTTCAAAGTTACGGGGAAAAGCATGATGGAACTGAGTAAATGGCAGCAAAAGTCAACAAGGTGAATCCTCTAGAACTGGCTTTGTCCGGTACAGCAGAGGACCTTGAACCTGCTTCTGATAGCTGCCCCCCCCCCTCCCACCAGGCAGGGGCATGAGTTCAGAAGGGCACATACCTCACGGCCAGCAGACCTTCTGCACTGATGTAAGGCCTCAAACGGGCTTTGATGCATTTGCAGCAATCACTCGCATTCAAGCTTTATTCATGTTCCCC